CGCCGCACCGCGTCTATTACCTCCCCAGGCGCCGCGACCGTGTCCAGCGCCGCACAATCTTCCGCTCGAAGCCAGCTCCTGTCCGCCACCGAGTACCGCACAGGATCACCGGAGCGCGCAGCGCGGGCCACGGTCGTTCCTCGGCCTCATCGCCCGTGTCGCTCGTATCGCCTCTCCGCGCGCCTCCCCGTCCAGTGCGTCCACGCCGCCCTCCACTCCAACCCTCGGCCTGCCGCGCACCGCGAGTACGCCTGGCACCACCCGTGGCGACACTGTGGCTGTCCTTCCATTGCCGCACGCACCGCGCGCGTTTCCACTCTCAGCACCACACCGCTGTCAGTACGACTCACACCCACATCGCCGGCGCCGCGATGACACGGTTGCGGGCGGACGACACGCACCCCGTGGCACTGCGACAAACCTGCGCACGACGCCGAGCCTGTGCGGAGACGCTCCAAACATACCTCAGAACCTCAAATCTCACTCCCCACAAACTTCCCCGGACGCTCGACCCACCCCCGCCAACACTCCACAAACGCCCTCATCAACGACGCGGTGGTCTGCACTCCAGGAAATCGGGAGTCCGAGTCGGCAGGCGCCGAGGCCTGGTGCGCCGCGGTAGGCGAACGCGTACGCGCCGACACGCACCCGCACTCGCCCGTGCGAAGCGGGCCACGCAGGCCGATTAACATCCTTTCCCCACCGCCACGACCGTCACCCCTCACTCCGACCAACACCAGCGCCGAGAGCGTGAGGTTCGCCCCTCTCGTGCTCATTTGCAATGGGGTGAGTTCGCCTCCACTTGGACCTGTGGCGTAGTGTGCGAGCAAGGAGTGAGGAGGATGGAGGCGGTAAGAAAAGGGAGGAGGGGGAGGGGGAAGAGGGAGGGAGAGGGGCAGGGGCAGGAGTAAGGGGAGGGAGGGGCAGGAGTAAGGGGAGGGAGGGGCAGGAGTAAGGGGAGGGAGGGGCAGGAGTAAGGGGAGGGAGGGGCAGGAGTAAGGGGAGGAGGGGAGGAAGAGTGGGAGTGGGTGCGAGTGCGTTGTAGCGTGGCCCAATGGTATGTGTATGTATGTGCGGAGCGAAAATGAGAGGGCGTCATAGTAAGGTAAAGAAGAAGAGGAAGAAGAGTGAGCGAAAACACGTACTCGTCCCCATCCCCCACCCCAGAGCCGCCAGATGCGCTATCTCGCTCGCGAGCGCGTACACGCTCCTCGTCTCGGCGGCGCGCGGCAGGGGCGTGTACAGCGCAGGCATCGCGATGTCGGCATTGGGCGGATGGTGAGGGTCGGGTTTGAAGGAATCGACGAAGAGTTGTTCGCTTGAAATGAGTGAGTGGGGGTAATCGACGCCCGGAAAAGCGGCCACTCCAGCATCGCCCCGAGGGCGCGCGCGGGGTTGAAGGGTGGGGATTTATCCGACGTTGGTGAGGGTGAGGAGGGTAGGCAGTGGAATGTGCGCGTTGAGCACGGGGAGGAGGGCGTGTAAGTCGGTGATGTCGAGCGTTGCGGAGTAGAAGTGTGGGATTTCGAGGCTTTAAGGAGGGAATGATCAGCGAGTGATAATGCAAGAAGGGGACGGTAGAAGTATGCGTAAGAGAAGGAGGTGTAGGATAGAGGAATGAGGGAAAGGACGAACGAAGAGAAAGGAGAAGAGAGGGATACATACCTTGACCATGGCGCGCCACATTGCGTGTCGGATGCGGCTCAGCTCGACGACCACATCTTCCCTGCATTGCGTCGGTGCTGCCTCAGCGCCACCGGCGGCAGAAGACAAGAACGCCTCGACATCAGCTTTTTCGACGCGCCCTTGCCGCTTCCCAGCGCGAGCTGAGAGGTCGACGCCTTGGGTGCGGGCAAAGTGGCGGACGGAGGGCGTGGCGAGTGCGTTGGTGCTTGCGCTAGGAAATAGCCAAGGCGTGAAGTACGGGTCGAATGGATGGGGACGGTGTGCGGGTGCTGGTGTCGATTATGGCGCGGACGTCGATGCAACAGCTTCCCTCAGCTTCCTTCTGCGGCTTCTCCGCACACTGCTTCTCCTCCTTCTCCTTGCTCTCCTTCTTCTCCTCTGCACCCCCCTCCTCCTCCACATCAACTAGAAAAAGCCCCTGCCAATCCTCGCCGTCCTTCAGCACCCCATCCCACGGACTCCGAAGCTCCAAGCTTGCCTCAATCGTGCAGCGGGCCGAGCGCGGCAATTGGAGACGGCGAGTTTGAAGGTGTATGTTACTTTGCGCGAGGCTGAGCGAGTCTGAAGGCGACCAAAGAGGCGCGGGGAGTAGGGCTTGTCACCGTACGTACCGTATACGGTACGGAGAGTGGGACCCTCGCACGGTACGGACACGGCTACGGTACGGCAATTTCGTGAAATTCCGTCCGTAATACGGTACGGCACGGCTCAAGGCGACAGCTGTCAGTTTTGTCGAGTTCCCGGCTGTGACATGACAGAAATCACCTCGGCTGACTGCAGGAAGTCTTGCCTTGCCATCGGCAAAGCCGTCTTGAGGGTCAGGGCTGCCCACGGCACCCAGAAAGTTAGTTTCCCATGCCGATTCGCGGCATAGATTACCTATTATGGCAATGATTGACGTGGGAAATCTCGCTTAACCATACGCCGTATTACAGCCGTAACACCGTATACGGTACGGGAAAATACGGACTATCCAGAGGGCTTACGGTACGTGAAAAATCCGTACCGTACCGTACGTAACCGTATGCCTACGGCTGCGGTGACGAGCCCTAGCGGGGAGTGCCAGGGGCGGAGGAATACGGTCAGCGACGCGAGAATACTTTCGACACAAGTCGCTACTGAAGGGAAACCAAAAGTCCAGCGGAATCTCATTATAGGTACCAGTTTCGGTCGGGAAGACGCGTACGATGCAGGAGAAAAGAAAGCCAAAAAAGGGGATCTTGGCCATGAGTGACAGTGACGTCACCGTCACGATGCCAAACCGTTCGCAAATGGGGATGGGATACTTCGCTTTGACCGCGCGCTGTAGATCCTCAAATTCAATTCCCAACCGGCGAGGAAGACTTTTCATGCGAGTCTACGATACTCACCCTCACACTTATCTATTTAGTTAGTTTCGCTCTTCCGCAAGAGTGTTAGTAACTCACTAACGGCACTGGGAATGAATATGAATACTTATCTGGGTTGCTGAAATGCTTATTCCCCGAGGATTGAACGTCTCAGTGGCTACACATCTTCTCGGAGCGTATACAAACAGAATAAAATACAAAAAAAGCATCGAAGAGCTAATAGGTCCTCGGGTGGGTTCGAACCACCGACTCTCAACTTTGTAGTAGTCTCTTAATTATCTGGAAGTGAGTTGCTTGTGTTATCCACGAGGACTCGTTGACCTATGTCAACACAAGCCATAACTATTTATTTTATTCTTCCCATCCACTGTGGTCGTCAAACCCCCTGAAATTCTAGGAACCAGTCCCTGACCTTCATGAAATTCATGAATTTCACCATGAATCATGTTGAAATTGTTCAGGTAAAACAGCAGTGAATTTCATGGGGAATATTATGGCCATATGTATTAATAGCCCACATTATATCTAAGCCACGGTGAATGGTGCACTTGAGTGGTAAAGTTTTTGCATGCGTCGCGGCGCGCACTCAACTCTGGCGAGCCGTGAGGAAGTGTGGAGCAATGACGAGAGCGTGACATCAGATCACTGGACCACTTTCAACTTGACTCCCACCACCATCTCAGCGACGTTCACCGTCGCCTCAGCCTCATTTTCACAGCGGGGCATCTTGGCGGGCATGCTTATCATCCACTCCTTCGACGTACGCCATGCCACTGATGTCTTTGGGGTTCGCTATCCGGTGCGGAAAGCTCACGGAGGCTGAGCCCACTTTGCAGCGCTCCACCGCTTAACACACCAAGCTCCGTCCAAATCAAGGTGCGTTTCATCCTCTCCTCTTTTTCTGTCTAACATGATTTCCAATACCAAGGCCCTTCACACTCCTCCACTCACTTCTCACCAAGAGACGCGACCAGAACCAGGGCCCCCCGTTCCGTGACGACCCAAAACCAGACGAGATAAATCTTGGCACTCCCACCTGTATTGAAGGTGCGCAGTGAATCGTTCACCACTGTTGTTGCTATTCTAAGAGTTTTATGTAGCACAGAGAGCCTTCAGTACATAAAACACCGTCTTCGCGATGTCCAACAGCCCCCTCTTGCGTCAACACGCAGAACCCGATATCATTGTGTTAGGATGCAGACTCGAGTCACATTTACCTTGAAAAGCAAGAGTGGAGATTCATGTGCGTGCCCACATCTTTTTGCTTCACACTCTGAACTGATATGAGTGCATAACTGGAAGGCTCAAGACTAACGATGGCATACATCGTGGTAAGTCTCTCAATCACTCTTCAATGTTAAAACCATGCGTGCGCCAGCGCTCCGGTGCAGTAGCTCGCTCAGCGGGAGAAGGCGTCGTCGGGTGTCTCCAGCGACGGCCTGTTGAAGTTCTTGTGGGAAAGGAAAGGGCCAAGTCGAGCGGTGGATCGTGGCCCTAACAACGCATTAGTTACTGGTGTAATTTCACGACCAATTGTATTGATTTCCCTCTTAATTGGTGTGAAAATCCGGAAGTTTCAACTGTAATTAGGTCACCGACTAAGCTCATTCAATACCAAACAGACTGAGATTCAGGTCAAAACACCCTGACCTGACCCCCTGGAATCTTTCCTTTTTTACCTGACTCCAAAGTGCGTGAACTTCAGTATTTCAGCCTGAAATTCAACCTATTTTTTGGTGAATACAATATAATTCATGCTGACTCAATTCCTGGATTGAATGTCAGGTACTCTGCAGACACAAGTGATCGTCTGTACGGTCGTATTCAATACTTGGGCTGAACAACGGTACCGAGGGTATAATAAGGCGCACAAGCTAAAATCCGGTACTCAGGAACGGGAAGGCATAATCAAAAAAAAGCAGATGCAGAAATTGAAAGAGAGAAAAGAAAAAGACGTTCGGAATATGTCCTCGGGTGGGTTCGAACCACCGACTCTCCCATGTACACATTGCGACAGAACTCTGGATCTAATCTGCAGGAGCGAGCTGCTGTGCTCCACGAGGACTCATCCACCTATTTGCTTACCGACATTACACTACACAACAATTCTGCTGTTCAAGTCGTCGCTGTGCGAGTTCAACAAAGGATCTGTCTCCACCTTGCATCAAAGTTCACAACAAAATCCAAACCCGCCGCGTTCTCCACTTTCACTGTTGTATTCAAACACATTTCCTATCTTCCAAAAGGAAGAAAAAAACATCGATCGAAACTTCATTTATGTACCCGGGTGGGTTCGAACCACCGACTCTCCCGCAGGTGCAGAGAATGACTAGCCGGGGTGCTCAGTGAGTGCTTCTTCCACGGACACTTCACTAGCATTGGTAACATATATTCAAAGATGTTCTTGGTGCACCGAGCAAAATAAAAATAAAACAAAGAAAGAAACTCTCAGATGCAGAGCATACGTCCTCGGGTGGGTTCGAACCACCGACTCTCCCCACATCGAATAAGAATTCTTGATAAATATCTGGGAGTGAGTTGCTTATATTATCATTACTCCACGAGGACTCATTCACCTACTTACCAATTTGAATATGACCCATCACTTTGCACAACAAGTCATTATTCCCGTCGTCGGTATGGTTGTTTTCAATAGTCCGAGTGCTGAAGTCTGCGGTGTGACGGCTTAACCAGCAAAAATCCGATACAGCATAATCAAAGAAACCATTAAAGCAGAAATGTGAAAGACAGGAAAAGATAATGACTCAGACAAGGGTGGGGTGAAATTGAACCACGAAATCAAATCAAATTTAGATATTCTGTTCTTCGCGGGACACCCACGTTCTCTCGACAGACCAGATTTCGAACTTGGATGAAAGCTCGGATCCCAAGAGAAAAAAAAAAGAAGCTACACAGCGTATGCCCTTGGGTGGGTTCGAACCACCGACTCTCCCACGTTACAGCTGAAGATCTAATAAGTAGGAGGGAGTTGCTGTGCTCCACGAGGACTTATCCACCCACATACCGAGATGGCTCTCGATAATCCAAAATCCAGATTCCTTTGACCCCGGTGAAAGATGAACTCTGGCCCGGCTGTGATTTCAACGCCAAATCAAAGCAGAAGCAGAAAATACGGGGAAAAAAAGAAGAACAAGAAAATGTTCCTGGACAAACACATCCTCGGGTGGAATCAAACCGCCGGTTCTTCCCTGAACCAAAATGTTGCTAAGTTCTTCGCCAAACATGAATGCCAAAAATAAAAAAGGGCAATTGAAGTCTCTCACGTCCCAGGGTGGGTTCGAACCACCGACTCTCCTGAGCGATTGCCGGGGCTCAGATCTAATCTGCAGGAGTGAGCTGCTGTTCTCCACTGGGACTCAATCACTCAAATACCAAATGACTCCATGCAACCACGCCGTGGCTACCATGCTGTGAATTTCACAACTTAATTCATGCAACTTTACGGGTTCTGTGATTTCGATAAGGGTGGAACACGAATCTACAGTACAGCTGTGCTCGAGGGAATGCAGATCTGAAGCTCTACCTGAATAAGGAAGAAAGAAAGAAATGCATACAGACACTACATGCAATCGGGTGGGTTTGAACCACCGACTCTCCCAGATCCTTGTTCGTGACGGTTTGATGACCGGGAGCGAGCTGTCATGCTCTACGAGGACCTATACACCCATATACCAGCACCAACAACAATGATCCCGAGTGACGTGTGCGGTTTCATCCGTAAGTTAAGTATTACACAATAAATCAGATTTTGCTTCGCCCACAGATTGACTGAGAGTCAAGCACTCAATTGGATTCCAATAGTTAATTTTCAATATCTAATGCATCAGCTGAGAGCTTCATCCCTCTGCCTGGAATCCCGGATTGTTTTGTCTTTCGACACGAGCACGGGCAAAACTCACTCGAGCAAAGGTGCAACTTGAAAGTTCCATTTACATGAAGATCTTTTTTTTTGCGTGTTCAACTTCTGAAAAATGAGTCTCAGATATTATGGCGAGCACGGACGGACGGACACATGTTTACTCTAAAACACATACTTATTCTCATTCCCACATGTATCATCGCCTCGCACTTACACGAGCACGTACCATGTATCTTTGCGCGAAATAAAGAACTTCCAAGCGAGATGTCATGTGCACCGTGTAAGGAAAGCAAAGGAACCCCCATCCTGGAAACCTGGAAGTCAACACTTATGAACGAGGAGGATTTACCGGAAAATTGGGTTAAAATGCCCAGGGTATTAGTGGGGTATAAGGCCAAAATCTTCGCATCCACCCTCCCAGCCTCACTGCATTCGAGGAGCTACTAGACTGAGACCTACACAGACCTACACTCAGTTTGCCAAGGATTGCATGGGTCCTGGCAAGGTAAGTGTAGGCAGCTACACACACTCTGTGGAGCTGAGTCTAGGTATGTCTAGGTGTGTCTAGGAGCCTGTGTCACGCCTAAACTCAACTACACAGAGTGTGTGTAGCTGCCTACACTCACCTTGCCAGGACCTATGCAATCCTTGGCAAACTGAGTGTAGGTCTGTGTAGGTTTCAGTCTAGGAGCTCCTTGAATGCAGTGCCTTTGGGAAGGAGAGGGCGGAATCGCTAAGCCCGAGCCCCACACTGTCGTAAATCGCCTCATGCCAAATTGCCTTTCCCCGGGCGGTGATGTCTCTCTTGTTTCACTTTTACTGGAGGGCTTCTGCCCACTGTCCCTTATGCAGCTGGAGGCTAGTCAATTGCTAGCAATCCTCAACTGATATCGTACCGCCAAAAAAAAAAAAAAAAAAGAAGGAAAGCAAAGGAAAGGAATAGTATGTGATAATGAATATATAATGTACATTCTGAATGTAAGTAATTCCTATCTACTCTCAAGTCTGCCCGTCGTCTCACCTCTCCTCTTATCCGCACCTTCCCATTCTCACCCTCCCGCTGCTTCGCCCCCAGACCTTGCGTGCCCACCCCTCCAAGGTGAGGAGCCTTTCTACCCTTAGTCTACGGGCGTCTGCAAACCCTCACGGATGCAACCACAGTGTACTATGTGGGAGAGACAGTGTTCGAATCCACCCCGGGACATAAGGCTGTTGCGTTTCCCCTTTTTCTTCTTCTTTTCTTTCACGATTTTCTTCTTTCTTTCAACGGAATGAACTCAACCGCACCCCTATCAGTTGAATGGTACTGGAAACTGTACATGTGCAGACCAAGTAAATCACAGCATGGCAGCTGTGGCGGCAGAGAACCCTTCAAAGATGCAGCTTGGATGCAGCACCTCCAGATCTTAAGATCTCATCTATCAGGTCCGGTCGAAAATATTCTACGCTAGGCGAATCGGGCGTGGCACGACTCTCTTAGCGTGTGGTGATGCGTCGCATCACCCCAGGCCGAGGGCAGATAGGTTTTTGTAAGCAGTTGAAGGAAACAGCCTTTTCAGCCACGAGCCTGATTCTGGGGCAGCTCTCGGAACCTCCGTACGTTTGAGATTATTTTGAGACAATAGAGGTAAAATTGCGGTCACTTGATCCTTTTTTTTTTTTTTTTTTTTTTTGCCAGCATACGGTATCGTTGGTACGCGTGCAAGGGAAGGTAAGTGGTAAAGGTTTTGAGCATGTCGTATGCGCGACACTGGTGCGCTGAGAGGCGGGGAATAAGTGCGACGCGATGGGGAACTTGGGTGTTGAGCAAAAATTTGAGACTATGTTACATATTTTTCTGCCATCTCAAATATACAGGTGTTTATTTCTGAAAAAATTAAGTGTCGTGAATCGCTGCAGGATCGAACTCCGAATCGAGTTCAGAACTGAGCGGTCAAAGTTAGGCCCGATTCATGATGGATTCAGTCGGTGAATCGAAGTCAGAATCAGCTCATGAATCGGCCTCTCCCGACCGCTTTGACTTCCCCTACTGTCTTCCTACCGAGCCAGATCAACCGAAAAACACAGCATATAACGATCCGAGGTTGTGAGCCGCGATGAAGATTTGTTTGGGGGCGGAGATGGCTTCGACGCCCTCGTCCAAGATTGGCTTCTCCGCGCTGGTAGCATGCCGTTGTCCCTCCACCTCATGCTTCCCTACCACAGCTGCACTAGTTCATTTTTCGTTAAACCCTATGGCTGTGACTGTCCGTCATCGCGCATTTTCACCGACTACTGGGGACGTCTGACCTCATTCCGCGGCGCCAATTTTACCCCTGCGGAGTGCCTCCAGCTACTCACGTGCGCACCAAGACCTGGTTGTTGCGAATTCCGCGCGATTTCATTCGATTCCCCTCCTGATACCTCAGGCAACCCGTTAATACTCCCCGACCTGACATCTCTCGCTTTCGCTAGCATCAGCTCTGCGACTCGTGTCTTTAGGATCCTCGATTTCCTCACCTTACCAACACTTCGATCCCTCAGTCTCATCAACGTCCTTGAGTTTCTCAAACAGAATTCCCCCTTCCTTTCATTTCTGAAGCGGACTCCTAGCATTCAGTCATTAGTCTGTAACCATCCGTATACCATGGAAGTTGGGGATTTTACGTCCATCTCGATGTAATGCCAGCCCTTACTTCCCTCCGCATCACTGGCAATAATACAGATGCCAAGTTCGAAATCATTAAACAACTCGGCGAGCCTACCCGAACCTTTCTTCCTCACATCCAAAGACTCGCCCTCTCCACCAGCCAAAGCTTCGTTTGGAAAGATCATTTCACTCCCACCCTTGTCGATACTCTCGTTTCGAGATGGGATGCGAAATTTGGGGTCGCTCGGCTGTTAAATTTTCTGTTCTATTTCCTGTTGGTCGGGGGCGCGGAGGTGGATGAGAAGATTGCAGAGTGCGTATCGGAACTGAAGAAGAAGGGAATGCACATCCACGTTGGTGCAGCACCGAGTCGCGTGTAGGTATGCAAATCCAACTGATGTTGTTTTACGACTGACGTTGACGCCCTCGTCAGTTTGTATCGTGATCATTGCTGAACCTTTAGGTTTGGCTACCCAGGAGAAGATAGATTTCGGGCTGATTTTTGCTACAAGTACAAACAAAATTTCGCCATACAAGTTTGGTCATCACAGGAAAA